CCAGCAGAAACCTCACGGGGAGAGGAGACGTCCCCGTGCCTCAACCCAGAGTATCAGACACGCTAAGAGGGGCAAGGTTCACACGGTCCCCAATACACGGGTAGGCCTGGGCACCCACCCCCAAGTCTCTCCCACCAGATTCAGACACGTGCTTTGTAGGTGCCACATAAGCAAGCAGATGTGGGGGGTGGGTGGGGGTGCCCAGCCGCGGGGCGATGCTGGAGGTTCGGGGGGGGGGGGGGCTTTGGGGACAGAGACATGGGGAGGGGACCACGACCACGAATCCCCTGACCCCTGGGCTAAGCTCGTGTATGCAGTCCCACTCAGTCCTCTAGAAGCCCGGGGACAGAGAGGCTGGGCTTGGGGTGGGGGGTGGGGGGTGGGAGTGTCAGTGCTGGCTTGTCTTCGTGAGTGGCCTCCCAGCCTCGGCCTGCCTGCCTGCAGTCACGGTGACAGGACGCATGGACGGACACAGACAGCCCATCTAGTCTGGTGGGCAGGACTGTCTACACCGGTACTGGAGATGTCTCAAGCTGTCTCCCTGCCTTAACCCCTGCCTGGCTGCCTCACAGGGCAGAGGGAGGCTGATGTCTTTATTGATTTATCTGGGGGAGGGGTGTGTGGGGACAATGTTCAGGGCAGAACTCCTGGCTCTGTGCTCAGGGCTCCCTCCCATCTCTCCAGCCCCCAAGGGATGAGGGGGCAACACAGGTGCGCCCAGGTCCATGCATGCCCCTCCGCCCCCCAGACACTGGGGTCCGGGAGGTTTGGGTTCCTCCAGATTCAGGCTCTGGCCCCCATGTGCTGGGCCATGAGTCCTCCTGAGTTCCGAGGGTCCCACTGCCCTTCCACTCCCCTGTGGCATGAGAGTCCTCAGGGCCCCCAAAGGCCGCTGGTACCCAGGCCAGGGAAGGAGACATCAAGACACAAGACAGGCCCCCCCAGCCCGGTGTACAGGCCAGGTGACACCTGGGCCACCTCCTCACAGATGGTGGGGGGCAGAGTTCTCACTCCCCAGACAACCCCCCATGGAGGCAGGACGGCTCCCCCCACCCCAGAGGAGAACTGAAGGGCCTTCAGAGGTGAGCCAGACAGAGACCAGCGGGGCTCCGAGAAAAGAGATCCCCATACCCAGACGGGGCCACAAAGGAATCCAGGCAGGGGCCTGGAGTCTTGAGCCGAGAAGCAGACTTCTCTCAGGTTGGTGAACCGGCGGGGGGCTCCCGCCAACATGAATGCATGGCCAAGAGAGGGAGACCCCTCAGTCCTTCCTTCCCCCCAAGGCAAGCCAATACCGGAGCACCACAGCCTGCCCCCCCTCTCCGGGAGCCCCGCGGCTACACCTCTTCTTCCTAAGCTGGTTTGCTGTTGTTGTGTGTCTGTTGGTCTGTCTGTGCTCAGGGATCACTCCTGAAGGGCTCTGGGAACCATCTGGAGGGTCAGAGACCAAATTTGGGCCGGCCGCATAGCAGGCAAGCACCCTACCCGCTGTCCTATGCCTCTGGCCTACCTCTTTGAAGTTTCAGTAACTCGAGTGGTCACTGGCCCACGGGTGGTCAGGATGGCTAAGGCCTGGCTCGACCAGACGCTGAGAAACTGTGCACCCAGCACAGCCAGGGGAGGGGGTGAATCTGCCGCTGCCGCCGGGTAACCTGGAAGTCTGAGGTGGAGCCTGCATGTCTCTGTCCTGAACCAGGATGGCAGACGCGCTCGCCGCGGCCCTCCCAGAAAGTACAGATGGAGCCTGCGAAGACGAGGCTCGGAACACATGCTTCTCATTACGGGCGCAGTGAAAGCTCTGGGCGCAGGCCCTTCCCATCCCCACCGCGAGCGGGGCCTTCCACGCTGCCATCTAGGTCAGTCCTCAGCAGGACCGGCCTTCCGGGGCCAGGACACCGTCCAGCACGAAGGACCTGCTCTGGAGACGCTGCCTTCCAAAGGCACCATCCTAGCAGCCTGAGCCCGAGCTCCAAATCACAGCTGGGCCCCACCCCTCATCCCTCCCCGAGCCCCCAAGTACACCTCCCCCTGGAGACCCACTGGGGCCCATGGGAGGAGGGCCCCTAAGGTCTGAGCTCACAGCAGGCCCGCTCAATGCATGGGACTGTGTGTCTGCAGCCTGTGCGCTCCACACAAACACACGTACACATACAGAGGCACAAGACACACGCATTTGCACACACATGCACAAACCACACACACACGCTTGCATGAGACACACATGCATGCTCATACATGCGCACAAAATGCACGCGCACACACATATGCACAGAACATATACACACCCATACACATGCACTCACATGCACAAAACACAATACACACGGAGGCACAATACACACGCACTTGCACAAAACACGCACGGTCACACACATGCACAAAACACACCCATACACACACGCACTCACATGCACAACACACACACACACACACACCCATGCACAGAGCAATCCATCTGTCTCGGAGAGCCGGCTGTCAGAAATGAAAGTACAATCTCCTGAACCGAGTCCCAGCCTTCTAAAAATGTGCTGTTTTCCCAGACTGGGGAAACTTGGGGGGGGGGGGGGCACTGCTCTGCTGCGAATCCCCAAGGCTGGGCCCGCTGTCTCTCCCGGGCCAGCTCAGAGCAGCGCGGCTGGAATTCCGACCTGCGGCCAGCAGGGCCCTCCCAGGGTTCCGACCCGCCCACTCCCCCCTTCCGAGCAGGAAAGGGCAGGGCCAGGCTTGTAGTCATCCCGGCATTTGGGGGGGGGGCAGGCCTTGGCGTGCACCCCCGCCCCCACCTCCCAGGCACCACATTTTCACATTCGGCTGTTTTTTCTTTCCCTTCTTCCCTTGCCAAGAGAATCAAGGCCTGGCTTCTGCTGCCGACCTTCCTCCCACCCTACAGAGCCCCATTGATGGAGGCTGGACAGGAAGGACAGCACCCAGGCCTTCGAGGAGACTGGGGGGGGGGGGGGGCGCCTTCACCCTCCACCCAGCTCCGCACCCCCGACACAGGCTCCCCCTCTCCTCCAGGCCTGCCCCACTCAGCCCCTGCTGGCCTCTTCCTCTGCAAGGCGGACACACCCAGGGCCCCCATCCCCGCCCCCCACCCCCCTGTGGAAAGATCAACTTCTTGGAAAGAAAGCTGGAGGCCTGGGCTTTCTCTATTGGTAAAAACCCGCCGAGGCCCAGCCTGGGCCACTAAAACCAGGGGGCGGGGGTGGGGGTGGGGAGCGATCTCCTCCGAGAAGGGTAAAACCCGGGTTTCCTCCACTGCTCTCCCCGCCCGCCCAGACACCCCCAAACCATTGGCACCGACCCCAACGCAGTTTCTTCAATTTCCCCCCACGGCACATTATTAATAAACCGCTCCAACTCCGAACGGAAAAGAAGAAAGAGTTCAAACTTTGAAGCCTTGGGAATTAGTAAATCAAGAGCTAAAATTCAAAACAAATGCTCTTTCATGTACGCACCCCCCCTCCCTCCTCCCTCCTTCCTTCTCGCAGTTTGGTTTAAACCCGCTTCCCTTCAGAGGGGGCACTCGGCCCAGCCCACCCCACCCCTGCAGCTCCGGGTTCCTCTGCAGAGTTGCGGTCACCTGGGGGAGGGGCTGGTGGCCATCTCTGCTGTCCCTCAGTCTCCTTCGAGGACTGAACAGCTGTTTTTTTTTGGGGGGGGGGTGGGGAGACAAGCACAGCCCACCCATCTCAGCAGGGGCAGGGAGGGCGGGTGGGCCCTCCCTGGGCACGCCTGGAGCTGCTGAGAGCCTATGTCGCCATTTCCTCCAGCCCAGGAGACAGACGAGATGTTATCCACCAGCCAAACCCTCCCCAAAGCCCCTTTTCAAAGTCACCACTTCCTGGGCGTATTCCTGCAGTTCCAGGGGCCCACAGGGCTTAAAAAAGGCAACTGGCCAAGGGCCAGAGAGACAGCACGGAGGTAGGGCGCTTGCCTTGCACACAGCCGGCCAGGGTTTGATCCCAGGCATCCCATATGGTTCCCCCAAGCACTGCCAGGAGTGATTCCGGCGTGCAGGGTCGGGAGTAACTCCCAAGCATCGCTGGTACAGCCCGCCAAACACCGAACACCAACCCATCTAAAACTCGGCTGGTACAGCCCGCCAAACACCGAACACCAACCCATCTAAAACTCGGCTGGCCAGCAGCGTCCTGAGACTGTCCACTCGCCCAGACCACCTGGCCACTTAGACCTTCTTCCTTGCAGACATGCCCAGGCCTCAGAAAGTGGGAAAGACACAGCGCCTGCAGAGGACGAACCCCACCACTACCAGGGGTACCCCCAGCTCTGGGTCCCATGCCGCTCCTTCCCAGTCCTCATTACACCCATCGGGTCAACAATGTGCTGAAACCACAAACCAGGTCCAGCCATCCCCGCAGAGCGCCCAAGAGGTGTCCCCAACCCACCGAGCACAGTCTGAGAGGTCAGAGGTGAGCTCACCCAGGAGGGCACCCAAATCTCCCACCCCCACCCCAAGAGCACGAGGCAGATGTGCAGGCTCTGCCTGAGGGAAGAGGGGCCAGAGCCCAGGACCTGCAGGTGCTGCCCCCCCCACCCCTGCCTGGTCTCCTGTAAGGAGGGGGTGGGTCCTCAGGGGACTTCAGGGATGGTGGGGGGGGCCAGCAGGTGGGCCCAGGGTCCTCCCCCTCCTCCGCCTGTAACCCCTCCCCCTCTGCCCCCCCTCCAATCCTTGCGGGAAGATGCTTCTACTCCAACTATCTCAGCTCTTGAACCCGCAGCGCCTCCCGCACACCTGGGGGGTCTGAGAAACCCTTCCCCAGTGGCGGTCTTAGAGCCTGTGCTAACCCCACAGCGACAGGCCTTTGGGATATATATGGACCAGCCCCCAAGCCGCAGGGCCACCCTGGACCTGTCAAGCAGCAGCAGGGAACAACAAACACAAACCAAACCACAGGGGTCCCCAGAAACACCCCTGGCCACGCCCACTCCTCATCCCCCATTCACTGCCAGGACAGTAGAGGAAAAAGCTCCCTTACCTGAAAGCCCCCCAGGGGCCAGGTAATTCGTTCCCCCGGTTTCAGCGGAGGAAGGTACAGCATCTGGACAGTCTGCTGTGGGGGAGAGAGAGAGAGGAATAAATACACAAATAAATACGGGCACCAAGATGAATGTTAAGCACCTCTTAAACAGCATTAGAGAGAAACCACACATTCCGAAGGGCTGGCTCCCCGCAGCGCCCTGGTCATCAATGTCTAATGTCTGCCCATCAGGAGACAGACCACAGCACCTTGTCACCGTCTGGGCTCTGGCCTGCTAGTTAATCATTAGTCCAGTCAGGCTCGATCACAGACGGGCTGGAATTCCTTCCTTTTTTTTTTTTTATTGCAAGTCCAGTTGTTTCCCCCCCCACCCCCCACCCCGCCTCCTGCTTTGAGGAAACCAGGTAATTCTCACGTCAGAGAAGGTCTGGGTTTTGCTTCCTTGTGCCTGTTCCTGTCTCCCAGCCAAGGTTCCCAGCGGGAGAAATCCAGGGCCAAGCCTCAGCCTCCTTCGCTTAGATCCAGGACTTTTGCAGCCACCCCATGCCCTGCTTCCAGCTCAGTGCTCAGGGACCATGTGACGCCGGGGCCCAGACCTGGCAGCTCCAGTGCTCTGAGCTCTCTCTGGCCCTGTGGGCACTCGTGTTTTTAAAAGACAGACTGGTGAGGGGCTGGAGTGATAGCACAGCTGGTAGGGTGTTTGCCTTGCACGCGGCTAACCCGGTTCGATTCCCAGCATCCCGTAGGGTCCCCCAGGCACCGCCAGGGGTAATTCCTGAGTGCATGAGCCAGGAGTAACCCCTGTGCATCACCGGGTGTGACCCAAAAGGCAAAAAAATAAATAAATGAAAATAAATAAATAAAAGACAGACTGGGGAGAGACTTCAGAACTTCTCAGGACCAGGCTTGGGATGGAGGGATTTTTTTTCCCCCTCCTTAATTTCCTTTGTGATGACAAGCAAAGGGAAAAAGACCCAACTCGGAGCAGTCCACCGAGTCCCACTCAGGTATGCCATCTGCACCACCACCAGATCCAAGGCCACTCTCCGCGGGGTCCGAGGGGAACTGTCCAGGTACCTGCGGGGACGCCCAGGCCCAGGACCTCCCCTTGTGTCTTCCCTTCCGCCCGAGACTGGGGATTTTCCTGCTGTGGGGACTGGTCCTGCCCCTTCAGACTCCCTGTGCCCTCGGGACAGACCCTCAACTTCCCTTCGGCTTCTCTGTTCACCCTCAGGTGCTCAGCGTGACCTACATGCTAATGACAATGCCTTGGGAAACAGCGACAGAAAACAGTGCCCGCAAACCACAGCTGACTCCTGCCGCAGCAGAGAGCTTCACACACACCAGGGTCAGGGCTCAGGGCCGCAGGAGAGGAACCAGAAACGCCCCCGTCCCACCCCCTGCCCCGACCCTTCCTGGCACATGGAAGTCCAAGGGTATGGAAAGCTACAGGCAAGTGGTCCAGGGGGGGTCCTTTACTGCCCAGAAGCTGGTGCCCCTTTTCTGGTAAAGGAATGGGGAGGAGGGAAGGGGTCAACACATAGCCCCAAACCCCTCTGGGGCTGGGGCTGGGCTTCCTGTCATTTCTGCCCCCCGCCAATTCCTCTGAGCTTCTCATCCTCCCCTGCACCCTCTCTTGGGCGAACAACTTTTCAAGAATTCTCCTGGAAAGGGGGGCAGGGGTGGGGGGGTGGGGAGAAGGAGAGGAGGGTGCCGAGGGATGGCTGCCGCAGGGGGTAGAAAAAAAACGACTGTGTAATCACATTGGATCAGGGTAAAGGATAATTCCTAACAGGAATATACAGTTTTACAGGATACACTTAATCAAATAGAAAACAATAGGGGCAGGCAGGAAATGGAGCCGCTTGCTAAATGGTGTGTACCCTGAGCTCGCTCAACGACTTTGGCGGCTTTCATCACGCTCTGCTCGAGACAGAGGCTTCGCGGGCCCCCTCCCCCCTCCGGAGCGGAAGACACCCCCACATTAAACAGGAGGACTTCTCCGTGGCCATCCCACCCCCAGCTCTGGCTGGCGGCGTCCCAGGGCCAAGGTGTTTCAAAAGGAAAACGCAGCATCTCGGGGCTGCCCGGACCACAGTTGGGGTGTCAGCCTGTGGCAGATCAAAGGTGCGAGAGAGCCGCGCTGGCAACCACAAGTGTTTTTTATGAAACGCTGCTCTGCCCTTCTGCAGCGCCTTTGATCTCGGAGGGATTTACAAACATTAATTAGGCCTCCCTTCCACTCCTGTGAAGTAGCAAAGTAGACCTGTTTGACACGCACCCAGGTAAACTGAGGCGTCATTGACTAGCGCAGGGGGCCACCCAGTAAGCTGCTGGGCTCTGCCCAAGAGTTCAGCCCGGCCCACAGCCCAGCCCGGCCCAGCCCGGCCCGCCTCCCCTACCTTCCCGCAGGTAGGCAGGCCGGCAGGAATGTCTTTACCTGCACTGTCCAGACAGGCCTTTACTGCCAGGCTTGTAAAGGTCAGAGGCCACGCCTCACCCACAAAGCGTAAAGTTAGGGTCCTAGCTTCTACCTGCACCACCTGCTCCCTGGGGTCTAGGTAGGCCCAGACGCCAAGAGGCCCCTCCCAACTCTCCACAGCTAATTGTCACCACTCCCAGGGGCACACTGGGTTGCTGGGGGACTCATCCCCACCCACCAAGACCCGGCAAGACCGGTGGAGAGGGGTACAGGATGAGGAGGGCTGGGGACCCCAGAAGAATCATTTCCCCAAGAGTCAGAACTTTCTTCTCCACTTAGTCCTGGGCTTCCTGAACACCTGTGGGCATAGGACCCCCTTACCCAGTACTACTACACCTCCCCCCCCCCCCCCCAGGTACATCAGCCCCAGCAAGACCTCCCAGATGTCCCTCCGCACAGCAGGATAATAATCCACTGCTCCAGAATCATCCCACGTCCCGGGCAGACACATCACCAAGCCTGCTGAATGAATGAATGCACCAATAAATGGGCACACGAATGAATCATCTAAGTCTTTAATCATCCGGATTGAAAAGGAGGCCCGGAAAACTTAAAAGAGCTCGGCGAGTTAAGAGGTAAAAGGCAGGGCTACGATGGAAAAACTGGGCTGGGCTGTGGGGCTTCAACTGGCCCACGGGGATCGGCCAGGGAGTCCAGGCCTAGGGCAAGTAGCGCAGAGCCAGAAACAAACCCCTCCCCCTGCCCATTCGCCCGCCAACCTTCACGAGGGCCACAAGGGAACACATGGGAGCAGCTCCCACGGAGCAAGCCTGGGACAGGGCTCCCGGGGTTGCAGGTCTGAGACAGAGCCACATGCTGGGTCCACCCTGGCGCCCCCCCCCCCCAGCCCAATCCCATCCTTCTCGCTCCGGAAACTGAGATGGCACCCCCAAGAGTGCACTCCTTACAGGATGAGCCGGGAACAGGGGGCTTCTTCCTGCCCATAACCACAGCCGCGGCCACCTCGGACGCTGAATACTCCTTTCCGCAAAGGGCCGACTGGCTTGCGACCACCCAGGTCCACACAAGTCAGAGGTCACTGAGGTGCTGCAAACTGGAGAGCACCCCACCCCCACCCTGCCAAGGCTAAACGCCCTTGGGTTTCCACAAAGGTTGGAGGAGGTCCTGGTGCCTTTCTAAGTCGGGGGAACTTGCAAAAGGGACTACCTCATCACGAGAGCCGGTTAAGATTTTAACAGCTGTCCACGATAAAAATCTTCGACGTGACTCTCACCTAGTAACCCAAGATCAAGAATTCCAGCCAAGGGCTCAGAACTTCAGAATGGAAGTGACTGACCTCTCCTCCCCAGCCAAAGACGCTCTCCGGTGAAAGGTGAGGGCAGACACCCCTGGAGGAGCATTTCATTGGGGCAGCTGACCCCAAAGTCCCCGGCCACGCCCCTTCCTCCAGGGAAAGGCCCCAGACAGACACAGCCCCCTGGGTCCTCCAGGCCCCCAACAGCTCCTTCAGCAGAGGGGCTAGCCTGAGAGCACCCCAGTCCTGACAGGGCACCTGTTCTCACTCTTTTTTTTTTTTTGGTTGTTGTTTTCTTACAAACAAAATGTTTTGGGTGAGGAAGCAGCTGTCTGCGCGTCTGTCTGGCAGGTTGCTCACTCCCCATTGGCCGACCTGGAGAGATTTTCCTCCCCTCCTTGGAAACGGCACATTCCTCTTTGTGGCTTCTCTGTTTACACACATTTTGCTACCTAATGTCAGCACTTGCTAATGAATAAATACATCACTCCACTCACTGAAAATGAGGTCCTGACCGGCAGGGCTCAGACAGAGATCCCAGGGACCAGCTCATCCCTAGAGCTCTGCTGGGGGTGGGGGGTGGGGGGTGTCGGGCCCGACCCTGAGCTCCGGTTTGAGGAACCTTATCTCGGGCACCTTAGCACCTACTTCTGGGCCAAGGTGACTGCTCTCGAAGGAAAACCGCCTGATGGATCGATCCGTCGGGAGACTGGGAAGAACTCGGAAAGCAAACGGGAAAGCCCTAGGGAGAACTGACCTGGGCAAAGGACGCCCAATTCCGGCCGTCACAGAGAACCCTGTCCAGCCACATTCTTTCCTCCCCAGCCAACGTGGTCCTTCGTCCTTCGCACTAACGTTAGTGGTTAGTTAGTTACCAGCTTAGTGACCAGCGCAGAGAGCTGGTTATCTCCTCATTAATGACCATTTATCTGCTGTTTTGTAAATCGAAAGCAAAATATCACATGCTCTGCAGCCATTTATTAGGCAGGCCCCAGGCGAGGGGCAAGGCTTCCCCAACCGGAGCAGGCGCCCGGGGAGGAGGGCTGGGTGAAGAGCCGAGCTTCAGTTACACCGTTCATTAAAGTATTTAACTTAGGACAACGCCCCAGCAAGAAGTTTTAATTAGTGGGGCTGAGGGGGGCCAAGGCGGAAGGACTTGTCGAATTCCAAGTGCGAAATGGGGGCCCAACCCTGCATTTTTTCCTTCTCCCAGAACCCTGGTCAAAGAAAAATGTCACAAGGAGTGCATTTTCCAGCCACCAGGGCATCGGGCCCCGGGGGGAGGGGGGTGCGGCAGATCCAAATTATAATCCTGGCTTTCAGCACAAGAGCGCTCCCCCCCTGTTCAGAAGGGGCCCCAGAGCCCCTGAAGGTGCAGCCCTGTGGTCCTCCCTAAGTCTGGGGTGGCAGGACCCTCTCTCTCCTCTCTCCTCCCTGGCCCTGTGTGTGGATTGAGGGAAAAGACACAAGCAGAGGCAGAAGTTGAGGGCAGACAGGCACACGGAGTTGGTGCCAGGCTCCAGTGACTTGGCTGGGCCCTGGCCCTGTGTCACAGGTGATAGCAAGAGACAGGCAGCCACATCAGAAACAGTCAGAGCCCCTACAAGAACTCCCAGGAGCAGAGGAGAGCCCCAGGGGACTCCACTTGGGAAGGGTTCTTTCTCTCCCTGCAAACCGGGCTTTGGAAGACGTTTCAGAACCGCCTTGCTTTCATTGAATGAATGTGGATGAGCCCCCCCACCCCCTCCCGCCCCACACTTTCACCCCCACCCCATGCCCAAGCTGTTTCCTTGGGTGTTCACGAAAGCCTCTGAATTTTCCCATCAACCTGTCCTACTTGGCTCCCGGGACACTTCGGCATGATGGATCAGAGGCCACGTGCTCAAGCCCAGCCAACTTTGTTCAGAGTGCAAAGGCAAGAAAAAGCGAGGAAAACCCCACGCAAAGCCTGTCTAGGAACCGTCTGGAGACAAAAGAGGCAACTCACACAGGCCACACGGGGACCTGCGCCTCCTGCAGCCTGCCAGAACTCGGCCACGACAAGCCAGGACCCTGGAACTCCCCAGGCAGCAAACGCCCGCCGGCCCTCCTAAACCTACCAGCCCGGAGCCTCTCCAAGCGGCTGCCCAGACCAAGAAACCCGCCTTCGAGCTGAAGGCTCCAGGGCTCACTTAGGCGGAGGGAGGAGAGAGATGCACTGGTTCTTTCTTTTTTAAACTACAAAATAAAAAGCAACTACTCACCAGTTGGCTTGAGAAAATCCATCGGGTATCTGGAGTAAGGAGGAGGGGGCGACTCTGGAATTAAAAAAAGTAAGAGAAAATAAAGGGCGAGCCATGAGAAGGAGAGATAGAAACTTATGATAACAGAGGCATTCTTTTAGCCCAACTGTTTGTCTTAGCTGTGGGGGTTGGAGGCAGGGCCGCGAGGCGGTGATTGCCTTGATATTTAGCTGTCAGATAAACAAAAGAGCCGCCTGGCGCCAGCCTCGGCGCTCCTCTCCTCCACGTCTGCGGCCGCCGCCGCCGCCGCGCCGCGCACCGGCCTCCCGGCTGCAAACCGCGGCCCGCACTTCACCGTTCCCAGGGCGAGGGGCGACCAAGCCCCCTCCCCGGCCCCGAACTTCAGACCCCATCCCTCCGCCCCCCACCCCCTCCGTGCGCACAACATGCGCACAACACACACACACATACACATACACACACACACACACACACACACACACACTCACGCGCGCGGACCCGCCCGCCTCCAGGGGCGCAATTCACCTCCGCCCCGGGCCGCTGCGGGGGGCACCCGCTCGGGCACACGGGGCGTCCCGGGTCCAGCGTGCTTGGTGCACTTGGGGAGACCCCCGGGAGGGGGGGACGCTCCCGCCGCACATCGACTCGGAGGAAAGGGGAAGTCATGAAGACTGGGGGCGGGGAGCAAGAGGCGGCGGCTGGGGGGTCTCGGGCGCGCAGCTCTGGCCCCGGCGCCGCTGGGGGGGGGGGGGGGGTCGGAAGGTCGCCGGGGCGCGCGGAGATGGGGTGGGAGGGCAGACCGCTTTACAGCCCATTCTCGGCGCTCCTGAGCTGCAGGGGTCACCCTCACTGCTCTCGATTCGTTTTTTTCCTCCCCCAGCCCGGGCTGACACGGTGGAGACCAACTAGCCGGCTGGGCACCCCCTCCTCATACTCTCTGCCGCCCCCCTTCTCCCCCCCCCGTCCCCTCCCCAGTTCGATCCGCACTCCAGGTAGGTGGCCGGGACCGGCCCGTCCCCAAGTCCCCTTAATCACGAAAGCAGCAGAGATGCCCCCTGCTTTTACACACCCCTGCTCGGCCCGGCCTTCCTTGGCGGGCTTGGACCGACTCCAACTCGGCCACACACCTCCCTCAACGCCTTTCCGGGTGCGGGGGAGGCGCGCCCCCCACCTCTTTTCTGCAAATCCCACCGCCACCACCACCACCAGATCGGAAAGTGAGGGCGTCCTGTCTTTTTCCCCCCCGCGCGTCGGTCGCCAGCCTGAGCTGTGCCCAGAGTCCCCCCTGGGGAGGAGGAGAGAAGAGTGGCAGGGAACCCCCAGGGAACCCCCTTCCCGTCCCCCCACGACCCTTCACTCGGGTCTCCCCCGGTCTCCCTCCCCGATGGGGGTGGGGGGGGGCGCGTACGTGCCCTCCCCACCCGAGACGCGCGGCCGCGGCGCCCAGCCCGAGCGGCGGCGGGTGGGCGCGCACCAACTTCCTCACCTAGTTCGCAGAGCCGGCTAAGGTGATGGGGGTTGCAGCACACCAGCTCGGGGTTGATCTTCCCGTAAGATTCACAGCAACACAGCCTCTTGACTTCCGAGGAATGCCTGAGATCCGGCCACCTGAACACTTTGCAAAGCAGGAGGGGGAGCGAGTAGGACGAGGGCGGCTGCGCGGGCTGCGCGCCGGCGGGCGCCCCCAGGCCCAGCCTGCAGTCCAGGCGGCCGGGCAGCAAGAGGCACGCGGTGCGCGTACCGCCGCGGGACTCCACGGCCTGGAGCAGCAGCTCCAGCTGCCGCTCCTTCAGTTTCTTGAGCACCGAGTGCGTGAGCGCCTTCAGATCCGCCTCGGCGCCCCCGGCCGCGCCGGCGCCCGCGGCTGGGGGGTGGGGATGCTGGTGACCTTTGGCACCTCGGACCGCCTTCCCCAGGCAGCAGCCGGCCCTGCCTGCGCCGCCGCCGCCGCCGCCGCCGGCCCCATGCGCCCGGCCGTCCGTCGCCCCTTCTCCGCGCAGCTCGCCGCCTCCTCCGCCGCCGCCTCCCCCCGCGCCCTCCTCCTCGTCCTCGCCGCCGGGCGCACGGCTCCTCCAGAGACGCCGGACGAGCGCAGATCGTTTGGTCCTGAACATGCGGGGCGAGGAGGCGAGGAGGAAAGTCGTTGGCCGGCTAAGGAGCGAACATGACCTCCGCACACCATGAAGAAGTCGGGCGCCGAGTTGGGGCAGCAGGCGCAGGCGACAGCAGCAGCAGCAGGGGCCCGGGCAGGCGCGGCGGTGGCCCGAGGGGCGCTCCGTGGCATGCGCCAGTCTCCCGGAGGCCGGGGCGCGCGCGGGGGCCCGGGGGCGCCCGCCGGGGCTCGGGGGCTGGCGCTCCGGCGGCCCCACCCCGCGCGGCCCGCGCCGAGCGCGGCTCTCGGGCCCCGACGCACCCCGGAGGAACGCGGCCGCCGCTTCCCTGGGGGCGACGGAGCCTGCCCGGGTCGGCGCCTCCCCAAAAAAGACGCCCCCCCGCAGCGGCTCCCGACGGTCGGGCTCGCCAGCCTCGGCTTCCTACATGGAAGACCCGCGGGGACCAAGCCCGAAAGGCGTTCGGCTGGGCTGCAGGAGGGAGGGAGGGGAGAAAAAAAAAAAAGCCTTTTTTCCCCCTTGCTAAGCAACTTAATTTGGGGGTGGGGAGAAGCAGGCAATTAAAAAAAAAAAAGCAGGCACGCGATTTATTTTTTTCCTCTATATCCTTAGTAACCGGATCTCCTCGAATTCCGTGCACACGAAGCCTCGGGGGAGGGGGCCGAGTGGACTTCACCCCGCATGAGATGTCTGGAGCAAGACGAAGGCTTGCTTAAAAAAAAATCTTAAGAAGCAATATGCAAAGCCCAAAATGAAAAAGGAAAAAAAAAACCACCTCCTCGCACCACGGAGGTCTGGGGGCGTTTGGCTGGAACTGGGGTTTAAAAAAAGAAAATGTTTACAAAGTAAAACAAGACGTTCGAGGGTGGAAAGAACGTATCCACGAGTTACAGCCCCCCTCTTTTTTTTTCCTTGCAAAAAAAGCCCCGCTGGTCTTCCTCTCCTTTTCTTCTACCCAAAAAAAAAAATCGTGTCAATTTTTTTCTTTTAATCCACAGAAAGCTTTGGCTAGGCTGCTTCAATCCTCCGCATCTGGGTGTTCTACGGGAGTCTCTGGTCTTTCCTCCTGCGCTCCCGGGGGCCCCGGTCCTCGGCGGGGACTTCCTCGGGGCCGGCGGGGGCAGAAGATGCTGCGGCGGCGGCGGCGGCGGCGGCGCCCGGCGGGGCTGACAGCGCGGGGGAGGGCGGGCGGCGCGCTCCAGCCCTCCGGGGCGCAAGCTGCTCGCTCGTGCGGGGGGCCGCGGGCGGCCACCGGGGCTCTCCGTGCGGTGCGCGCCGCTCGCTCCGACCCGGCCGCCGCGGCCAGGAGGGCCCGGGTGTCCTCGCGCCGCCGCCGCCTCCTCCGAGACTCTCCTCGGCGCGCCCGGGAGCCTCCCGGTCCCCCCCCCGGTCCGCCCTCTCCCGGCGCTCAGGTCCTCGGGCCGCCGCTGGGGGCTCGCCGCGCCGCGCTCGGGGGCTCCGGGGCGCTCGGCAGCTCGGCGCCGGCGGGCTGGCTCCGTCTCCGGGCGGCTCTCTCCGGCGCGGCGAGCGGGGCTGAGCGCGGCGCCCGGCTGGCTCGGCTGGCGCGGCTCAGGGACGACGCTGCTCCGCGCGCCGAGCGAGCGAGCGAGTGTGCCCGGGGCTCGCCGCCGCCTCCCGCAAGGCCTCCCGCCCCCGCCCCCCGGCCGCCCCCGCCCCGCGCCGCCGCCGCCGCCGCCGCCGCCGCCTCCCGCCCCCCCGCGGGCCCTCTGCGCTGCCGCTTCCACTGCGCAGTGGCGCGCCCGGCTCCGGCCTCGTCACGTGGCCGTCTAGACACCCTGTCGCTTTAAAAAAAAAAAAGCGATTGTGTTTCGCAAACAACAGATCGGGTTTCTGAAAGCTATTTCACCCCCCCCTCGCCACCGCCGCTCCCTCCCGGGCCGCGGAGAGGGGAGACCGGGGCAGGGGTGCCGGGGTGGGGGGGAGGCCCGGCCCGGGGGCGAGGCGACGCGGGGAGCCGCCGCCGAGACCTGGCCCGGAGCGCCGGGAGGAGCGAGGGGGCGGCGGGGGAGGGAGAACCCGAACCCGGGACCACCCGAGCCGGCCTGGGGAGCGCAGCAAGGGGCCCGGTTTGGAGACCCGCCGCGGGGAGCTCCCCGGGGGGACCCCCCCCAGGTCCCGCGCCCGCGACCCCGCGCGCGCGCGCGCGCGCACACACACACCGCCGCGCGCTCGCCCCGGCGGTTCATTCATTGGTTTTGTTTTAAAGGGCCTGGCGGCGCGGAGGGGAGGCGGGGAGGAGAGCGCGGTCTCGGTGGAAAAGACATTCACACCGGACTGGAACGAGGCCTGGGAAGTGCGCGCTGGACGGAACAGCCGCGCCGCCGAGGGCGGGGAGGCGGCGCGAATGTGACCTCAGCGGCGGCCGCGCGCTCCCGCCCGCCCTCTCCCGCTCCGGGCTCGGGTTTCTAGGACTGCCTGGAGAAGCGTGTCTTGTGCACAGCTCTGGAATGCATTTGGCCGGCTGACGAGCTGCGAGGGGCAGCGTCCGGGCAGGAGGAGGGGGGTGCGCTGGGGGGGTGGGGGGGCGCGCCCCGCCGCCTGCAGGCTTCCTCCCAGCCGGAAGACCTCGGGGGCCCCCCGCCTGCGGCGCGGGAAGGTTACCTTCCGAGCAGACCTGCCTCCAGCGGGGGGCTCCGGCCGGGCAGAAGCCGAGATCCAGGGCACCGAGGTCGGCGTTCTGAAGCCGGCTCAGGGACCATCGCCCATCAGGAGTGGTCGGGCCTCCAGTTGACATGGTGGCCCGTGGAATTTCATCCGTGCAACCAGATTTTTTTTTTCTCAAATCATTTAGATGTGTTGAGATCAGGATGACCGACTCTTCGGGGACGTTAAAGAGTCTCTAGAGAAAGGTGAAATGTGTTGTTTCCATTTTCTCAGCTAAATGGGGGACGTTCTAGCAACTTTGAGCTCAACCCCCGGATCCTCCAGCCACCATCGGTGTCTGCCCCATAATTAAGAATCCACAAGAGTTGGATAGGATTTAGAGGGGCCATTTTGATACTCTCGGCCAAACCCAACAAAAGCAGCCTTGCAAATCCAAATATGAAAGGAGGTCAGTGACTTCTTTACAGGACTCCATGAATGGGGCCCTGGGTGCATGTGAGCCTGGGGACAGTGTCAAAGACAAAGCTTTGGATCTGGGTGATGGGTCAGGAGTGACGGGGACAGACAGAAGAGTTAGAAATGGGTGTTTCGGCTGCAGAGTGCAATGGATGAAGGCATTTGCCTTGCCCACAGCCCATCTAGTTCCCGTCTCCAGCTCCCCATATGGTCCCCCAGAGCACTACCAGAAGTGATCCCTGAGCTCAGAGCTAGGAGTAAGCTCTGAGCACAGCTGGGTGTCCGTCCCCACCCACCAAAAATGGAAGATTTAAGGTCTGTGAGTAATGTCTACGCACACACCTAAGAAGGAATAAAGTCAGAAAAACCTGCTTCCGGGCAGGGACCTGGCCATCGATGTAGCACTGGTTCCAGATCCCTGGTAGCCAACACAGGGCAAGGTTAGAAAAGTTTCTGTAGCAAGTTGCAGTCCCTTCTCGTCCCTTCTCAGGGTTCCATTCCGTCCCCCACCCCCACCCCGGCGAGGCTGGCCTGCAGTGACAGGAAGGACTTAAATAAACAGAGCAAGCCAATGTCATCCTTCTAGTTCAACTCCTTAGACTCCAGGGAACGCAGCCAGGGCGTGAGCACTCAGGCAGGAGAAGCCAGAGGGCACCAGGACAGGCAGGGTAAGTGGGTGTTGCAGGCGCTGGCAGTGACGTCACAGCTTGTCTGGTGGGACATGCACGCACTTGCAGAGTTCTGTTCCCACAGAGTGTAATTGTGGGTGTTTTAATTCCGCGTCACCCCTCTCTGGCCCTCACTGCACGGCTTTTCCTCCTCCATTTTACTACCGGGGGTGGGATGCCGGGCAAGTAGCTACATGGCCGGGGCTGCTTTGTAGCTCTCTGCCATGGTGCCCCTAATCAGTTAACATCCTCGGCTCCCAGAAGCTGTCCCCACCCAGTGTCTTCTGATCCCTTTCCTTTCCAAGAAAGAAGCTATGCCGGAGAGGAACTCAGGGCTGGCCCGCGTACCTAGAAAGGAACTTCCTTTCTTTGCTCAGACACAAGCACCCAGTTTCAAACTATTCAGATCCAGAAGGGGAGGGAAAAAAAAAAGTCAGGAGCGTACCAAACTATTGTGAATGAGTTTGATTTTAATCATTTTGCTGGCAGGGAAGATGGAATAAAATATCTCATGTGCAGTTGTTTATTTCCTGTTGAGGCTTCTATTTTCATCTTTTAGTCACTTTGGTGATAGTAATCAAACCTTAATAGTGGCATAGGCACCAGTCACAGGCCCCAAAATAACTTGCAGCAGAGTAATGACCAAGGAGGATGGAATCAGCAGGGACCCGCCGACCACATCATCAGCCCCCCAAGTACCCACAGGATTCACACACACACACACACACACACACACACACACACACACCCCACACGGGCCACCTTGACGCCACTGACTGAGCCACCAGAGGAGAGAGGAAACTGGAGGCCAACGGAACCTTGAGGCCCCCAGAGGAAGGAGAGCAGCCAAAGAACCCAGGACAGCAGCTAGGGGGAGCAACTGCAGATGGAGTGGAGAGAATCTGAGAGGTCTCACCTCCAGGCAGCCCTAAGGAAGATCAAAAGGAGAGGAAAGCAGGGAAGGAGAGAGTGGGGGATGATGCCCTTGCCTTCCACCGCCAAACCATGATTCAGTCCTTGGGACGGAGCCCTGATCACGTCAGGACTGCCTCTGCACACAGAACTAGGAGAAAGCCCCAAGTATCACCAAGGATGGCCCAAACCCCATACATAGTACAGGAATTAAGGCACACGTGTTGCATGCAGCCAAGCCCAGTTTAATCCCCAGCATCCCATAGGATTGTCTGTCTGAGCACCACCAGGAGTGATTTGTGAGCACAGAGCCAGGAATAGGCCTTAAGCACCATTGAGTATGATGCCTTCCCCCACCAAAAGGGAAAAAAATTAAAAATAAAGGCCGGAAACGTAGCCCAAAGGTCTGGGGTGCATGCCTTGCCCATCCAGGTTCAGGCTTTGGCTTTAGCCTAGAACAACTTCTGAGCACCAAGCCAGGAGTAACCGCTGAGCATGGCCAGCTGTGACTCAAACCACAAACAACACCCCCAAAGCAATGGGGCTGGGAAGTCAGGATAGATTCTGGCTTTGGGGACTTTGCTCACGGCTTTCCTGCAAGAGAAGACCAGAGTGAGCCCCCAGATCTTGCTGGGGGGGACCGGACTGTGGGGGCGTGTGGTAGGACTCTGGGGGCAGAGTAGGGTGGGGAAGTGGGTTTGTTTTTCCCCCTGAGGAATTTCGAAGCAGGAACAATTGGAGAGGCCCCAAAAGTGCTGGAAAATATTGACATTTCTTGCTCAACCATCCCCTGAAAAACGTGTGCGCAAGCCCTGAACCATCCCGATCTGGCAGGAAAACAAGTGGAAAGGAAGTTCGTGAAAGGAAGACGTGAGTGAAGCCGATGTGACAATCAGCACTTCTTGGCTTCTCTGAGGACAAGCACATAAGTGAATGAAAACGCATCTAATTCATAATCAAATAAAGAGGCTCTAAGCCCTGACTCATGCACTGTCCTCCGATTACAGCCGCGCCGGCCGCCGATGTGCTCACAGTGGCCAGGGCTGGCCAGGGCATGCAGCTCAGCTCTGGAGCCCAAGGGGGCAGGGCAGGGTCATGTGGACATTGGGGTGCAGGCGACCAAGAAAGCCGTCCCTAAAAAGCAGAGAGCATGAGGGACAATCAGGTACTTGGTCCCTAACAGATGAAGTCTCCAGGTAGGACACGGGGTGGCCCCCAGGTAGCTTCTACTGGCTCATATGCATGACCTGACTTACCTTAAACCACTTGAATGTGTTACTTCTTAGAAAATGCACAGGGTTAAAGGTTTTGTTCGGACACGACACCCAGCAGGGCTTGTGGGGGGCTATTCCCGTCTTCACGGTCCAGGATTGTTTCTTGCAGAATTCAGAAGTTGTGTTTCTCAGGGTCAAATCTGAGATTCCCACCTGTAAAGCATTCCCTGTAGCCCTCTAAATTGGCTCCAGTTTGTTCTCTTGATTTGTTTGGGGGCCACTGGCACTGCTCAGGGACCATTCCTAGAGTGTTGCTTCGGGGCTGGGGGGGGAGGGGACACAAGGGGGCTGTCATTCCCAGGGTAGCTCAGGGGACTATGCAATGCTTGGAGACGGAACCTGAGTTTCCAACAAACACAGCCTGGGTTCAGCCCTTTGAGCTCTCCCTGGTCTCATCTATTGATTTATTCCGGACCACACCTGGCGGTGCTCAGGAACCCGAAGCCACTCCCTGTGGTGCTCAGGGTTTGGAAGCCTCCCAGGCTATACCTGCCTAGGGCAGGACATGCCACTTGAACCCCAGCACCTCGTCCCTTCACAACTTTTTGTTGTTCTACTCCTTGCCTGCTCTGGGGTCTCGGTCCTTCCCTGCTGTCAGCCCTCCCACTGTCCTATCTGGTGCGGGCCAGGCTCCGCGTAGAAGTCAGGCTGGTGGCGGCCGGGAGGTCTCTGCAGGGCAATTTCTCCAGGAAGGCTGATGACAACAGAGGTCAATGTGTCATCCCAGACGGCAAGGGTGGAGC